AAAAAAAAATCTGTATGCTTCTTTTATAACTGTCTATTGTTGTCGCTGTTGTCATCACTCTTTGTTAAAATCAGGTTTCTCTTGTAAATGAGTTCTCGAGGCTCAATGGGATTTACCTGTCTAAATAAAGGTTGAATGAATAAAAATAATAATTTAGCATTCTTTATCTGAGGAGCAGACTGCTTTGAGTTTAACTCCATCACTGAGCAAGCATGAAGGCGACAGTGGAAAGGAAAAACTCCCTCATAAGGAAGAAACCTTTAGCAGAACCAGGCTCAGGACAAGCTCCATCTGCTTCGACCGGCTGGGTTTGGTAGGAACAGATACACAATGGCAGGTCAAGAATCACATGTTAAGATAGAATCAAATGCTCTTTTAACACTTTTCTGACCTATAAGTGCCGGTACACAGACAATATAATGTATAAATTACATTTCCTGTGTACTTACAGGTCAAAAAAGTGTTAAAAGAGCATTTTAATTTTGCTCAGGGGGTCAGTAGACAAAGAAAGCAACTGACAATGAAACGTCATGCTTTTTTTTTAAACCGACAAATAAACATTGAGAAAAGCTCTTCTGTCTCTCCTGCTGCCACAGATTTATAAAGCTGGTTTTCTTTATAACGACACAGGAAGGATTTACAGTCTTTGTCAGAGGGGTTGCACACAGAAGGTGCAGGAAGTTAACGGGGCAACCTTGCTGTCACTGCTCTCCCTTAAACAGTGATTAAGAGACAGGGGACATGATGCTGACGCGTCTGCTAAGATGGTAATTTACACTCGCTGCACAATAGGCATTTCACACCAATGGACACATTAATGGCAGTGCACACTTGCCCTGTCACTATCAAAGAGATGTGTGGTATGAGTATGTGTGTGCGTGAACAGGGAGATTGTATAAGAAGACCCAAAACAAGAGAGGGAGGGGGCTGCGGCTGTGCTCGCCACGATAAATCATTGAGCTGCACAGTATCCTCTAACTTTGGCTGTGTTTGATCTCGATCGCAGTAAGATGGTGGTTTTGAAGTGAAAAACTCCAGGACTACAGGTCAGGCTCTGGCAAGGCAGGGCCACTAACCCACACAGTGAGGTGGGTCATAATTTACACCCCGGTGGACAGCACCATAGCATTGGGGAGCCCCAAAGCCTCCATCTGTACTATCTCAATCAGTGACAGATTGATGGAGGCTCTTCTTCATACAAACTGAGGATGCATAGGCTGCGCTTTACAAATACACAAGTTCTCAGCAGACAGATTCTCTGCAGGTTCCTATGGTGAAAGTTCACTTATAGCACCATGAGCAAAGCACCAAAGAGAATTTACAACTTCTGATTGCGTTCAGAGATCTGTAACTCACACCGTGAACAAGGCCAATGAGCTTAGCTCGGAAGAGTTGGAGCATTAATGTTGAGCTGTGCTATTAAACTTTTAAATGTTAAAAAAAAAATAGCCTCAAACAAGCAGTTTTATTAGTTATAGTTTTTAAAGGTTTACAAATGCATTGCTACATTAAGATCAAAAAGTTCATGCTGACTTTTTCAAACCACATGTGGAGGGAAAAGCATTTTATCGTGTTTTTTTCACGGCAAAAAGTTGCAACGCCTGGTTTTTATTTCCCCTCTTGTTATAAATGCGTTCCACCAAGTGTCTGGTTTAACAACTCATTATCACCGAGCTGCGTGAAGAACCACAAAGACCTGAAGTGTCACCTGCTGCAAAAGAGTAGGAGAGCAAACTTCTGCTTTGCTTTTGCATCAAGTAAAAAATTTTAAAAAAAGACGACATCAATAAATCGTTGGCATCGTTTAGTCATCACTTCTGTAAACTATTTCTGGCACAAAACGCTGCTGCTTAGAGGCTTAGCAATCAAAATGTGTGGAGCAAGGGGAAAAAGCTAAACATTTTTCATCTTCATTTTGGCATCTAAATTAAAAAGCATCAAAAAAAGCATACTGTTTTTAAAGATGGCACACAAATGAACAAATCTATTGCAGTCAGTTTTGGAAATATGAGCCATTCCCAACTGGGTGAAAGGACAAGGGGCAAAACTCCAGAGCAATTACACTTTTATCACTTGTTTCTGTGTTTTAGAAGGGCAAGTGTCAAGTCATGATAAAGTATGAGCCGTATCTCTGGTTGCAGGGTCATCTGAAATAATCCCTACAGTGTTAAACAAAGAATATTTTTATCTGTAAATCTTCACGCAGTTATAAAAAGCTTTGTGTTGCAGAAAAGTTGGTTGTAACGGTGTTAAAAAAAAAAAGAAATGTAAGAAAAGGCTGATTTCAGTGAGTAGTCGCAGGTTTTCTCGTGCAGCCTGCAGGGTGGAGTTCAGGAACGGGGTGTGAGGAGAGCCCACGCCAGGGGTACCCATAAATCAGGGCCCGTCTGCCCCCTGTGTCCACCAAGCCAACGGGGACTGGATGATCCAAATTCCTGGAGGTTAATTCACCAAGTCGCTTCCTTAAATTTCCTCCTGTACGACGATTCCTGCAGCCCTCGGACTGACAGGAAAAGTTCCCAGCACGCCTCTCCAACATGTGCCACACACTCTGTGTGCAGTGCAGCACTGCAGCGCGGCCTTTGCTCTCCAAACCCTGAGGTATGTGTTAACACGGAGCAATTACAGCAGTGAATGAACTTCCACCACACTATCATTAATCTGTCTGAATACGAGATGTGCCCTTTTGTCTCACTGTCATAAACACTTGTTCTGCTGGAGGAGCCCTTCAGTGGCACCAAACTGCAGCAGCCACGGATGAGACCTCGGAAATCAAAAATAATAAACTTGTTACAAGAATCCAGACGAGAAGGATCAGATCTGAAACTGCTCATATTTATTTTCCTCATAAGCAATTTGACTGAAAGCTGTTTTCACGTGTCTGACTCATTCCTTGAATAATTTATGAAAAATTTTATAGCGTTTTGAGTCTAACATGAATTGTTTTCTAAATCAAATAAAATTATATTGATTAAATTGATTTTCTCCTTTCAGCTCGGCCTAAAATATACTTAAATACTTAAACTAGCAGCTGCATTTTAATAATTTCTTCTCATTCAAATAATAATCATGACAAAGTTCATGTTGCCATCACAAATTAAAAATGAGAGCATGGCAGGGAAGGGTTTTGGCTGCATTTGCTTGTTTTTTCCACTGAGGCCTAATAACACTGCAAACTATTAATGCAGTGACTGAAAATCATAAAAAATGCCCACTTATAATCACAGTTATTATAAGTTTTTGGTTCCAGCTTTGCATTCTTTCTTTTATAAGCGTCCACTGAATTACTATTTTGGTCTAATAAAAACTCCGTTTGTAAATTGGTTTCCTGCTGATCCGTGACCTCACTGTGGAATAAATGTAGAAACACACAACAAACATAAACAACCTGTGACTCATTGCTGCAGCACTTTGCTCTGGGAGTATCTTAAAACGTAACAGCTGACTTTAAAAAATAAAGTTAGCTTTCATTTAATTGGAAAACCGACTGAAGAAGAGAATAAAAGTGTTGCAAGCTGTGCAACAAAACATTTGACGTGTTTCCGATTGTTTTATTTAGTAAATTTATTCTACTTTGCAGGAGTTATTAATCATGTAATTGTTTAAAGTGAGCACGTGCGAACGCAAAGAGTGAAAAGAGAAACCCATCATGCAGGTCTGGAGCAGCTCAACTGTTTTTTTTTTTTTTTTACTTTAAATGTTAATAAATGTATAAAGTTCTTCTGGGAGCCCATGCACCAAAGTGAATAAAGTTCAGTCCGGTTCTGGGTCCAGAGCTGCAGGGTGCGCCGCTGGGCGCGCAGCACCGAGTCCGGTGAGAGCGTGCAGAGAACAGACCTTTGTGTGCTGGATCTCCGGGTTGGGCACCGGTGAGGGCATCAGCTGGAGGGATGCCATGAGAGCCGCCGGGTCGCTCTTCACCTCTCCGGGGATCTCGATCTGACTGGAAGTCATCGCTCCGTCTCTGGTCTCCTTCAGTTCAGCTCTCCTGTCTGCAGCCTCTGCCCTTTCTGTCTTTCTTTTTTTTTTTTTTGCTCCAGCAGGTTCCTTCTGATTAAAGCTTTGGACGCTCCTTCCTGGGTTTATAGCCAGGTGTCGGCTGCAGCTCATTTTCATTGGGCAGAAAGGAGAGAAAGGGCCGTCCCTTTGAAAATTAAATTCAAGCATTTACATAAACGATCTCAGCCATGCGTGCGCGTGAAGGAGGAGGAACACGTCCAACCCACCTCACACACTCTGCTTCCACTCACCAGCAGTTGACGCTTTTTTACATAGTTATTCACAGTTTTACATACACAAATATCGTGCACGCTCACAGGGATGTCGCTCCAAGTTTTGAAAGTTCAACTAAATAAAATCGGCCTCAAATAGATTCCGTGGAGGAAAATGTACTGAGTTGTCTTCAGATTGAATTGAAACTTTGAAACGGTTTGAAAAGTTTCCTTCAGTAGTTTTCCAGATACCTTGATAAGGCTGAAACGCAGGTACGCACTCGGTGTAAACAAAACACTTTGCTCAACATAAATAATTACAAACACGCCAAACCTGTCCGTCCCAAACAGTCACGTCATCATCTGTTTTCACGAGTAAACGTGTGATGGGCAGCCAGTTGCTGATTTGCATCATATTTTTATTTAAACGCACAATAATCGTCAACTTGTGGAAATTCCTGCAGCAAATTTTGTTTCCCGCTTTGTGTTATTTTGTTCTTTTTTCCTTGAACTAGTTTGACTTTGCAACGAGCTCCTTAAAAACATCATCCAGGCTCTAATCCGTCACAATCTGAACTCAAACCATCATTGACGCGTTTCCTACACGTGACATAAAAGTGTCACACTCCCTTTTCAACTCGTTCTCTCCCTGTGGGCCTGTTTGCCTAACACAACCCCCCCACGGTGAGAGGTGTTATGCAAATTGCTGCTGGGTGTGTGCGTGTGTGTGTGTGTGTGTGTGTGGGGGGGGGGTGTATTAGCTCAGATTTGTCCTACAGGTGATAACTCCTTCCAGTAAATCTCCCCAGTTAACATCCACGCTCAGAAACCGAAGTGTGGAAGATGCTCCACGCACCAAAACGCGCTGCTTGTGCGTAAAAGTGCGCAAAAAGAAACACCAGCAGAGCTCATGACAACAGTTCAGGTTTTATAACTCCAGCCGCTTGTCAGGACAAAGGAAGTTTGGGGCCAGATCAATCATTTGCAAACGAACCCCCCCCCCCCCCCCCCCCTCCATCACCACCGGAGGATGTTATTCCTCCATCAGCACATCAACCTTTTCTCACAGCGTGCGCGACACTCCGTGGGTCTGTTTCACTTCAAAGAGCCGCTGAGCCTGATGACGCTGATGGATGCAGCGCAAACATCCTCGGCCTCACCTTCTCACTGCGAAGCAAACGGGAGATAAGAAACACCGGGCTGAGGAGGAGGGGGGAGAGAGGGGGGAGTCAAACTTTAACCATCGGGAGCTTCAAACGTTTTCTTGGAGCGCCCTCTGTCGGAGGAACGCACCGGAGCGCGCGCTGAGGACGCACATGTGGGGAGAGAAAGTGGAGTGTTTGTGAACAGGGGACTGATTCTTCCACACAAACTCAGATAAACTGTAAAAGTCATGTAAATAAATGTTTGTCTTTATTATTTTTTATTATTTGTATTTTAGCCATGCACAGAAATAGAAAACAAGAATTATGTATTTATTTTTCTTTATGAACTCTCACGTGTTGTTCATTTATCTGCTGGTTCTCTATAGAAAACTTTTACTAAATTATATTTTAATACGTCTTGGTGTGAATTGGAACCTAATAAATAAACTGAGTTAAAACTGAATTATAAATAATTTAATTCACAGCACTGAGCATGTGCGACTGGACCGATGTGGATTATCCTTTAAATTTTAATAAAAGATCAGACTATAAACTATCCCACTGGGCAATCTTTTATTTAAAACATTTGTTCATCTAGGTATTTTTATTTTTCTCAGTGGAATATATTTTTGTCTTGTTACCATTTTTAAATGTAAACTTTATACCAGTTATGACACTGACTGCATTTAAATTTAAATGAATGTTTATTATAAAATAAACACTCATAGCGCTTCATCTTGGTAATTCAGGTTTGTATTGTTCAACTAATTTAAAATGTGAATCTGACAAATAGTCCAATCTAAAAATAAATGTTACAACTGAATCTGAAAGGTGTTGTGAAGAATATCAATTTTAAATGTTTATATTTTATTGTTATTGGGTAGAGGCGCAAAAATTTTAATAGATAAATGTGCTTTTCTGACTCATTCATATCAATAAACATGTTTAGCTTTAAATTAATACATTTTAATGTAAGTCACTATTTAAAGTAATGCTTGAATAATGAATTTTAACGTAATTATTTTTTTCATATTGACAGAAACTGCATTTTTGAACGTTTTGCATTAAACATACACGCTAACCACTTTAAACAAAACTATTAAATATATCTGCAGATGAATGGATCAATAATTCATGTTGTTTTCAGGCTGTGTGTAGATGTGGGGGCCGCTCACATCATGCAGACCCCTTGTGGTTGTGCAGGGAAGCAGAGGAGAGCTTAACGTGGCCCTCAGCTCGCTCTGCTCTGCTCCACGAGTGGGAGGAGGCGACGACCTGCACCGACTCCCACACACACTTCATCCCAGTTGTTGCTGTTTGTTGTGTTCGGAGCAAGACCCCGAAGGAGGTGCAGAAAACATGGAAGATGAGAGCCGGAGGAAGATGAAGGCGAAGTTTGGCCTGAGGCAGGACATCTTCAAGGAGTTCCTGGCAGAATTTCTGGGGATATTTGTCCTGATAGTGAGTATCGCTCCCTGTGCACCTGTCATCCAGCTTAAACTGTCGCTTTAAAGCTGTCAGCCCGTCGGCTATTAAGATGCCAGACAGTCTGTTTGTTAACAGATGATTAGAGGAGAAGCTGTAGCTCAGACCTGATGGACAATTCTTTAAAACATGTACGTTTGAAGCATCATGAGCTAACTGAAGTAAAATCAAGGGATTGTATTAATTTGGGCAAATCACGGTGCACTTTGCAGAACAGACTGTTAAAAAGTTCTTCACCTGCGTTGCAATGCACAGTAGGACACTGGAGTGATTCTGTGCTCCCATGCTGTCCTGACCTCCACCTGACAGACTTTCCACGCTCCACCTGTCACCTCCTGAAAGAGTCTGCTTTAATGCCCATGATGGCTCGTCAGAGGGTGATGCAGCTTCTACAACAAGCCTTTTTATTTTTGGATGACTGCTCTCGCCTCAACACTTTTTTTTTTTGCTCCCTCCCCCGTCTATCTAAATTAGTTGAGGCCTTTACCCAATAAGTGAGGGATTAATGAATGATTTGAGCAGCAGCTTGTGGCAGTCGGAGGCTGTTTGTGGACAGGAGGGCTGGCGTTAATGGCGACTGTAATTGGGACGATCAAAAATGAGCCTTTTTACCTCTTTCTGTTCTTGTTCTTGTGTCCCAGCTCTTTGGATGTGGCTCAGTGGCCCAGACGGTGCTGAGTGGAGGGAGTCTCGGAGAGCCGCTCACCATCCACATTGGTTTCACTCTGGGAGTCATGATGGCCGTCTACATGGCAGGGGGGGTCTCAGGTACAAGCGGCTCACATGCAGGGCAGGAGGAGGAGTGTGTGGTCCCCTGGGCTGGAGATACTTTTGGGGCCCTATTGACGTTTTTAATGCATTTACACACCTGATCATGTGCACATGAACGTCAAGGGTTCTGGTCACAGTAGAGCTGCTCTTTGACTTAACGTCTAAAACCTAAAAAAATAAACTACAGAAAGAACGTTTGGAAATAGTAGAAAATCTGTCACAGTTTTTAAATCAGCCATCGCTGAAGGACTCATGCATTGATCTGAACTGTTACTTATTTTATACTTATTTTCCATCCATCCATTATCTTCCACTTATTAATTATTTATTATTAAATAAGGGGAGTGGTGGCGCAGAGGTTAGAAAAGGTGGACCTGTGATCGGAGGGACGCTGGTTCCACTCCACGGACTGACAACATTAAAATATGGAAAGGTGAAACACCCACACCTGCCTCCACCCTCATTTGCCCCACTCTG